TCTGACTATCCACTCTGTCTATGCCTCTCATCATCTCATACAGCTCTATCAAGCCACCTCTCATCCTTCTTTGCTCCAATGAGAAAAGCCCAAGCTCCCTCAACCTTTCCTCATAAGACCTGCCCTCCAGTCCAGGCAGCATCCTGGTAAATCTTCTCTGCACCCTCTCTAAAGCTGCCACATCCTTCCTATAATGAGGTGACCAGAACCGAACACAATATTCCAAGTGTCGTCTAGCCAGGGTTTTATAGAGCTGCAGCATAACCTCACGGCTCTTAAACTCAATTCCCCTGCCAATGAAAGCAAATACACCATACACCTTCTTTACAATCCTATCAACTGGAAGTTGGAAAAATTATAGCTAGGGAGTCTACAATGTGCTCCTCTACTTCATTTAACACCCTCAGAAACCATCAAGTCCCAGGGATTTATCACTCCTCAATTCCATTAACTTCCTAATTTATCAATGTTTTGGTTACATTAATTTTATTCAGTCTCTGTCCCTGATCCACCATTAATTTCCTCAGGACCTCAAGTAAGCTATCCTCCTTTTTCTGCTCTAAATACTGAACGAAGTAATTATTCAACATGTCAGCCATTTCCCCATAGTCATTGGTAGTACTCCCACTTTCAGTCTTTAGTGGGCCAACATTGCTCCTGACCACGCACTTTCCTTTTTATGTAACTGTAAAACTTCTCATTGGCAAGTACCTTTTCTCTTTTAGTAACTCTTCGAAACTGCTTTGTGATCTTCTTCTAGTCTTTATCTTTCTCATTGAACAGAATCCATGCTGTTTTTTCCATTTTTGCAAATTCTTTTTAGTTTTATGCTGTCCTTTATCTCATGGGACACTTCCCAACACAGCGAAGGAACATAACACCATTCAGAGCAAGAAGCCCACTTGACTAGTGTCTCAATCAGCACCTTAAAATAATTCCCTTCATCAGTGAAACACTGTGATTGCAGAGTCTACCCTGTATAAGATGGACTCCAATAACTTGATGCTTCTTTGGGATCACAGGGATCTAAGTGTACAAGGCCACAGTTCCCTGGAAGTGGCAACACAAGTGATAAGGTGGCTGAGAAGGCATATGGCATGCTTGCCTTCAACAGTCAGAGCATAGAGTATAGAAATTGGCAATGAAGAACTTTAGTTAGGCCATATTTGGAATATTGCATACAGTTCTGGTCATCACACTACCAGAAGGAACGAGAGGCTTTGGAGAGAATATAGAAATGGTTTACTAGGATGTTGCCTGATTTCGAGGGTATTAGCTATGAGAAAAGATTGGACAAACTGTTTGTCTCCACTTGAACATTGGAGGCTGAGGGGAAAACTGATGGAGGTTTACAAAATCATGAGAAGCATGAATAGAATAGAAAGTCGGAGTTATTTTCCCAGGGTAGAAATGTCAATTGCTAGGGACATTGGTTTAAGGTAAAGGGGGAAAGTTTAAAGGGGAAGAGGGGAGTTATTTTCTTCCCCCCAAAACACACAGGGTGTCAAATGCCTGGAAGGCACTGCCAGACGAGATGGTAGAAGCAGATACAACAATATTTGAGAGACATCTTGATAGATACAATCGTCAGGGAATAAAGGGATAGGAACCACAGCGAAGCAAAAGGTTTTTTGTTCAGAAAGGAGTCATGCATCAGTACAGGCTTGCTGGGCCAAAAGGCCTGTCCCATGTTGTACTGTTCTTTGTTCTCCACAATATCTTCCAAAGATTTTTTTTACTGCGAATAATGATAATAACAACAGGCACATGGAAACAGCACCTGCAAGTTCCTCTCATCACTAAACTGTTGCTTGGTCAAATATTGGAATTTGGTCAGATCAGCACTACATATTTGCCCAACAATCAAAATAACACTCAAGGGGAAATATATGACCTGCCCGAGGGGCAATAAAAGACCTCATTTGTCTGATATAAAGAATGCAATTTCAAGGAGTACACATTCTATATATTTAATAAATAAAACACATCTGTGTTATATTTCAATAACTGGAATTTGCACTTATGGGATGGTTCAGAATTAAATATTCCCAAATGAAGTTTGATTTGGACTTCTGCAACCATTTTTGGAGTGAATACTGAATCATAACCTTCTGACTCAGACCGGATACCACTGTGACAAAACTGATATGAATCCTGCTGTTAATTTCTATCATTTAACTCTTTCGGTAAGAATAGATCAGGGGAAATCATGATTTCTGTCCTTTACTTGAATAAGATTAATTGTCGCAGACTAGCCACATGGACAAGGTTCAGACAGAGTAAGCATGGATTCACGAAAGGGAAATCATGCTTGACAAATCTACAGGAGTTCTTCAAGGATGAAACTAGTAGAGTTAATCAAGGGGAAAACCAGTGGATGTTGTTTATTTGGACTTGGAAGGCTTTTGACAAAGTCCATCATTAGGTATTAGCATGCAAAATTAAAGTGTATAGGACTGGGAGTAGCACCGAGATGTATAAATAAACAGATCTTTTCCCTGAATGGCAGGCAGTGACAAGGGAAGTATCACAGGGATCAGTGTTAGAACCCCTGCTATTCACAATATATATTCCCTATTTAGATGAGCGAACTAAACATAATATCCAAATTTGCAGATGACGAAGCCTGGGTGAAAGGGTGAGTTGAGAGACGGATGCAGAGATGCTTCAGCACAACTTGGGCAAATGTATAGCAAATGCAGTATAACATGGATAAATAAGAGGTTATCCACCTTGATACCAAAAGCAGTAAGGCAGATTATCGGAATAGCGATAAATTGAGAGCAGTGAATCTACAGCGATACTTGGGTGACCTTATACACCCAGGAAAGGGAAGCATTCAAGTGCAGCAAGCAGTAATGGTGACAAATGGTAGCTTACCCGTCACTGTGAGAGGATTAGCATAGAGTAGGGATGTTTTGCTGCAATTATACAGGGCATTAGTGAGACCACATCTGGAATATTGTGTAGCTTTGTCTGAGGGAGGCGGTTCTTGCTATCAGAGGAATGCAGTGAAGTTTTTTTTATATAGAATCCCTACAGTGTGGGAACAGGCCCTTTGGCCCAACAAGTCCACACCTCAGAGCATCCCACCCAGACCCATCCCCCTATAACCCACCTAACCTACACATCCCTGAACACTATGGGCAATTTAGCATGGCCGATCCACCTAGCCTGCACATCTTTGGACTGTGGGAGGAAACCAGAGCACCCGGAGGAAACCCACACAGACATGGGGACAATGTGCAAACTCCACACAGACAGTCGCCACACAGACAGGAATCGAACCCGGGTCCCTGGCGCTTTGAGGCAGCGTGCTGACCACTGAGCCACCCTAACTACACTGATTCCTGATATGGCCAAACTGACATGAGGACGGTTTGAATCACCTAGGATTATACTCACTGGAGTTCAGAACACGGTTGCATGGGGATGGTATTGGAATCGTAGATAGGGCAAATGCAGGAGGGATGCTCCTGGTGGCAGGGGTGTCAGAACCAGAGGTTACATTCTAAGGATACAAGGTAAACCATTGAGGAGAAATGTCTTCACCCAGAGAGCGCTAAACTTGTGCAATTCGCTAACACAGAAAGCAGTCGAGACCAAAACGTTGTATGATTTCCAACAACTGGATGTAGCTGGGTTAAAGGGGACAAAATATATGTGGAAAAGGAGAAACAAGGCTATTGAGTTGGATGATCAGTCTTGATTATAAAGAATGCAGAGCAGAGTCAAAGGACCCAATGGTCTACTCCTGCTCTTATTTTCAATATTTTTATAAATGCCCTTTTCAGTTCATCTTCAAAACTGCCATTTGGCATTGTTACCACACGAAAGCAAATACTGGGGCATGCTGAAACTTTAAATTAAAACATAAAATTTTGGAAGGACTTAGCAGATCTGGCAGTATCTTTGGAGAGAAACGGTTAACGTCTCAGATCGTGATCTTGTAGAAAATTATCAGAAAAGCAAGGATACAAAAAGAGCCTCGAGCATTTCTGGTCAGCGCTCAATTCGTTACGCTAACATTAATGAATTTAGTCGAATTCACATGCATGTGCGAAAGTGTGAAAATGCCGGCGTTGATTGAATGTGAACATATGCTTGCGTTCGTCAAAAACGGCAGGTCTAAAGAAAAATTGAGCTTCTAAATTGGTGTTGAAAGGTCCAACTCTGGTGAGCGAAACTAGAACAAGAAAAGTTACGGGATCTACTCAAACCAGTTAAGAGGCATCACTCTCTGTTGACTACCTGCATAAGGCTTCATAGTTCTTCAAGAAAATTGTCCCAATGAAAATTGCTGAGTACAGTATTTTATTTCCACACGCTCTGGAATGCACCCCCCGAAGACCTAGTCACAGCAGTTTAAATTACTCCTAGTTTAAGGCTCAGCTCTAATGTACTACAGGATGGAAAAGTCAAAAACTTTCCAAACCCATTTATCGTGACATCTGGTTGCAATAATCACATAATGTTTAAATCTGTGTTTTACAACTCATTTATCATCCCATTTTCTTTTCCTCGCACAACCCCAATTTGAGGAGTTTTCCCCTCGAAAGTTGCAAATTAAAACATCCAAGTATAAATCGATTGGCGATTTACTACGTTTTTTTGAGGAGGTAGTTATGGAAGTCTCTCAAACATGTACAATTTTTATAAGATTTATTTCCAATCACACGTTGCGGCGACGGTTCAGGGCGAAGAAATATTCTGAAGGATGAGCAAAGAACGCTCGTTCGGAATTCCTCACAAAATAACCTGTTTTTTTCGTTAAGCGCATCGGCAGATTTATTCTTCGTTCACGGAACGACTGTTTGTGCACGAACCTCCTCCGTCTCCCAGCAGCCCAGGAAGAGCTGAACACTTACAGGATTTTTTTTAAACCCCACCCACTCACTCCCAGGATTATGAACCCACCAGGGGTATTTAACAAATTCGTTTATTACCGGGAGTCTCGCCAGTTATTTATTCTCAGCCGTGTCCGATCCCCTCGGCTTTACCTTGCATTAAGAGCGCCGTGGCCCCGAGAAGCACTGCCATTCTCTTCGCCATCGAAACCCCACAACTCAGCACCACAAATTACATTGAGGGGGGGGGGGGGGGGGAAGGAATGCAGAGGCAGGCAAGATCCGGCTTCTTCACTTTATGGGTCTCTGTCCCCCGGTCGGTCGATTGCCTTTTATTCAGCGCTTTAACTCTGACGCGCCCATCGTCCGGCAGCGCTCGCACTCAGACCGACCCCGAGCGCGGCGCGAGCGAATAGTCAACGGAAAAAAACCGCCACCACCAACAAACTTGCTCACCGGAAACTCTCTTCCAGCAAAAAAGGTTGTTTGATCGGGAGATGTTCTGGCCAATCGCCGCCAGGTCTCGGGGGCAGGATCAGTGATATTGTCCAATGAGATTGTTAAAGGCGAACAGGCTGTTTCCGGTTGGATGAAGTTTGGTTGCACTGGGAATGCCGCTTTGTTGGTCTGAGGAAAAAGGTGAGTTTACTGTGATTGTTAGGAGATGTAATAACAACTTGGACAAAAAGACATGTAAATTTGTAGGTGTAATGGCAGAAATTAGGTTGGTGTTTGTTCAGATTTTCGTCGAAATAAACGTTTGAAATTTGCAATACTTTACAAATATCAGTTATTTTCTAACAACTCCGCTCCTGGTCAGTCCTGTTAATAAAAACATCAAGGTGTTGGCCGCTTGACAACGGCTTCTCCAATCTAGGGCGGTGTTTTGTTTCCAAGGAGCGGGTTTAGAGGAGAAGACTTTAGGATTGGAGGTAGGTGAAAGGAGATGAGTACTGAAAAGACGGGATAATTGCATTCCTACAGCGCCCTTCACAAAGTGGGTTGGTTAAATTAAAGCAAGATACTATGGATACTGAAAATCCCAAATTGAAGTTGCTGGAGAAACTCAGCATCGCGGAGAGAGAAAAGCAAGAACAGAGAGAATATCATTTCTGAGTCGCGCATGATTCTTCCTCAAGAACTGCCAGAACTTATTGCTTTCATTCAGAGGCGCATAGTCACCCAATCATAGAATTGTGAGTGCAGATGGTCATTCGGCTCAATGTGTCTGCATTGTCTGAGCAATTTTAATTTAGTGCCGATCACCTGTCTTTTCTTCCTATCCCTGCACATCGTTTCTATTTAAATAATCACTTAATACCCTCTTGACTGCTTCAATTTGAACGTACCTCCACCACTTCCAGGCAGTGTATTCCAAAGCCGAAGCACTGGTCCTGTGAAAAAAGATTTTTTTTGGCCTGGCACTAGTTTATTTTGCAAAACACTTATTAAACTACCCTCTGATCTTTGATCTATTTGCGAGTAGGAGCAGGTCCTCCCAATCCAATCTCCAGCCCTCTCGTAATTTGAAACTTTATCAAATCTCTTCTTAGCCTTCTCCTCTCCAAGGAAAACATTCCCAATCTCTCCAAGCTTTCCTCATAACCTATGTGTCTCAGCCTTGGATACATGTAGCTATTCAAAAGTCTGTCACATTAAGATTTATCTTACACTGGTTAAAATGTTTATTAAACGAATAGCCTTCAATCACGTGTTCTCCTTAATGTGGCTTGGTGATAGCAACTTTGCCTCTCAGTGAGTATAGTGAATGCTACACTGCTGCAGGACGATAACCCCTGTCTGCCCACCAAGGTGTAAGTATTGCCAGTATTCGGAGAAAGCAGGGGAAGTTTGAGTGTCTTGAGCAACATTAATTTCCTTAGCCAACATCACCGAAAAAGTAATTTATCAAATTGCCATATGTGGAGTAAAACAAAAGTAAAATACTGCTGATGCTAAAAATCGATATAAAAACAGAAAATAGCAGAGATTTTGAGCAATTCTGGCACCATCTGTGGACAGAGAAATAGTATTTCAAATCTATGACCATTTATCATACTTGTGGAACATTGCTGTGTGACACTTGGTTGTCATGTTTAACCCTGTATTACAGCAATGACGACAATTCAATATTAATTCATTGGCTATGGAGGTGTTTACAGACATCCTGAAGTAAGGAATAGCATTTTATAAATGCAAGTCCTTTCTTTATTTATGGATCTTTTGTGAGTTTTAAAAAAATGAAACAAACATAGGTCAGAAATAAGATTGTTGGTGTTCCATTACCACTTGTGAAATGGATTCTTGGAAGCACTAGGTCTGGGTCTTGGCTTTGCTATCTGGAAAAGAATTTGCTTCTCCACTGGAAGGAAGGAAGGAAGGAAGGAAGAAAGAAAGAAAGAAACAAAATCAACAGAAGTGGATAACCCTAGTGTAATTTCAAGTATATGTCTATAGTATATTAAGTGTATAAAAATGGAAGGGAAAATAAATATTAGAGGGAAAGGACAAGCCTAAAATTTTAAATATCAGCATCTATAATTTATTAAAGTCAGTGTATTAACCATCCATTTGTTTTTCAAAGGCTACAGAAAGATTTGGATGAAATATGACAACTATCATGTAATACATGCATCCAGCTGACAATTCTTAAAAATCCATTTAAATTCTCTTGTTTATACCTCAAAACACTTAATAAGTGACTGAGATTACTGTAAAGATTCCACTTTCTCAACCTCGACCCTTGCTTCAGGTATGGTGACCCTCATATTAAACCATTACTAGTCCTATCTCTTTAATGAGAGAATAGCTGTATGGTCTCTGGGACTATGGCAACTTCACCTTTAATGATTTAAATGTAACATGGTAAGTACATTTTAACTTATAGTCCATAAAATGTGGAACCGACCTTATAATTGAGGTAACTAAAGCAACAGTAAGCTACTTAGTTTGTACAGAATTTAACTGTGAACAAACTACATTATTTCACAATCTGTGATAAAGAAGAAGGGTACTAGTTTGAGAACCTTTCTGCCTGCCCTGGTTAGAGTCGTGAACACACTTCACAAGATTAATATTAGTTATGCAAGTTCCAAGAAGTGCTCTGGGAAATGTGGATTGGTCTTGATTGGTTTCAAGTAGGGCTTTGTTTGTTAATTTAAAAAAAATCTGTTAATAAATGAGAAGTGCTTTGGGATAATTAAGAGAACCATATTACCATTCGTTTAATGAAGAAAGACTGTGGAATTGAGGTGCAGAGGAATTATTTTGCAGATTCAGCATGAAATTGAGAAGGATAATAGGATGTTATCATTTATTATGAAAGGAATTGAACATGAAAGTAAGTAAAAGTTCTGAAGAAGAGTCATAATAGAATCAAAATATTAATTATGTTTCGCTCTCCATAGATGTTGCCAGAGCTGCTGAAAAAAGATTTTTTTATACTGGCATTGGTGAGACATCTTGAATACTCCATACAGTTTTGGTCTTGTTATTTAGAGAAATATGTAAACCCTTTGGAATGAGGTTTACTAGATTAAAAATTAATGGAAGTGGATTGTTGAATGTTACGTTAGAAAAGTTAGGCTTGTTTCTGTTGGTGTTTTGATTTGATTTATAATTATTGTCACATGTACTGAGATAGTGAAAATTATTGTTTTGCATGCTAACCAGACAGATCGTATACTTATGTAAGGTGTCAGAGTAGTAGACCAGAATGCAGAATGTAGTATTATAATTCAGCAAGGGTGCAGAGAAAGATTAACTTGAATATGAGAGGTCCGTTCGTAAGTCTGATTACACCAGGGAAGAAATTGTCTGGAGTCTGTTCATTTGTGTTTTCAAACATAGACGGAGCTAATGGAAAGAGGGACTGGGCTGCGTTCACAACTGTCTGTAATTTCTTGCAGTCTTGGGGACAGCAGTTGCCCTACCAAGTTGTGATGCATCTAGATAGTATGCTTTCCAATAAACTTGGTAAGAGTCATTTGTGGACATTCTTTCCTGACTATTGCATTGACATGGGTAGACCATTTCAAATTGTTGGTGATATTTGTTCCAGAACCTGGAAGCTCTCAACCACTTCCACCTCAGCACCATTGATACAGACAGGAGCATATCCTCCACTCCGCTTCCTGAAGTTGATGACCAGCTCCTTCATTTTGCTGACACTGAGGGAGAGATTGTTGTCTTAACACCATGCCACTAAACTGTCTACCTCATTCCTGCACTCTGTCTCGTTGTTATGAGATATGACTTACTGTGGTGGCATCAGCAGCAAATTTTGTGAATGGAGTTAGAGCTGAATGTGGCCACACAATTGAGAGTGTACAAGGAGACTGTACCAGGAGAGAGTGTAAGAGACTGAGTACGCAGTTTTGCAGGGCATCAGCATTGAGGATTATTGTGGAGGAAGTGTTGTCGCCTGTCCTTACTTGTTAGAGTCATACAGCATGGAAACAGATCCTTCAATCGAACTGGTCCATGCTGACCAGGTTTCCGAAACTAAGTTAGTCCCATTTGCATGTGTTTGATCCATATCTCTCTAAACCTTTCTTATTCGTGTACCTGTCCAAATATCTCTTAAATGTTGTAACTGTACCTACAGCTGACACTTCCTCTGGCAGTTCATGCAGCTATTTGATTGAAGTGTATAAAGTTCCTGAGGTCTTGATGTGGAAAGGAGGTTTCTTCTGGTGTGTCAGTCCAGATCTAGGAGGTCATAGGCTTATAGACTTGTACAGCACGGAAACAGAGCCTTCAGTCCAACTCATGCAAGCCAACCAGACATCCTAATTTAATCTAGTCCCCTTTGCCAGAAAAATGGCTGAGGAGTGGCAGGTGGAGTTCAATTTAAATAAATGAGGTGCTGCAGTTTTGGAAAGGCAAATCAAGGCAGGATATATACAATTAGTCCTGGGGAGTGCTGCTGAGCAAGGAGACCTTGGGGTGCAGGTTCACAATGCCTTGAAAGTGGAATCCCAGGTAGACAGATGCTCTTGCTCTTTCCTGCGTTGTTCTGGAGTGTAGCAGTGTGTCCTGGCCCGTTTGCATAGTGTCCTAATGCAGCTTTGTTTGTGGACGTTGAGGATTTGATCAGTGTGGGTTGCTTTTCTGTATACGGAGGTTTGGAACTCCCCATCAACTGACGTCCAGGAAGTGGAAGAGCACCTATACAAAGTCTTCGCTATGAACAAATATCCCTGCGACTTCATCCGCAGATGTTTATGCAACTGACAACAACAGGACACACAGTTCACCCTAATACACTGGCCACACTGCCCTACATGAAGATCATATCAGAAAACTGACAACAAGACTCCTACAACCACTAGGAATCATGGTAGCCCACAAGCCCACAGCCACTCTACAATAAACACTGAAGGATTCGAGACCTCATTCCCACAACATGCAGAACCAACGTAGTTTATAAAATACCATGCAACAACTGTCACAAACACTACATCAGACAATCAGGAAGGAAACTAGCCATCAGATTACATGAACATCAGCTAGCAGCAAAACATCACAATGAAATTTCCTTAATGTCAGTACACTCAGACAATGAAGGCCATCAGTTTAACTGGGACAATGTAAGCATAGTAGCCCAAGCCAAACAACATGCATGGGAATTCCTGGAG